ATCAATGCTCCCTTCTAGAAAGAACGGACCTGCAGCCTGGGGGGGGGAGGGGGAGGGGAGAGCTCGAGTGCGGCTGCATCAGCGCCCCCCCACCTGTTCATTACTGGGTGGGGGCTGGGCAAGGAATTTCAAGGTTATCGAAGGACCGCGTGTTCCTCTCTGGGGGGGGGGGGGGGGGGGGCGTCCCGGCAAGGCCTTTCCGTGTGGCTGCCCTGCCCCCTTTGGGGAATTTTCGAGAGGCCCAGACCCCCGATACCATCTTCCACTAGTCCTCCTCCCACGTTTTTTCCTTCGACAAGACAAAGGGTATCAGGGAGGAAAAGGCAGGACATGATGCTGCCTGAGATGGGAGCATCCGGAGCACCTTCTCTTTGGAGGCCTCTTTGGAAGGAGCGGCTCTGGCTCCACGCAGCCCTTCCAAGAGCAGAGGGGAGGAGGCGGTTCTGGAGCACCGCGAAGAACGGCACGCACGGGGCTGGTGGGAAGGCACGCGGAACTCACAGAGCATCCTCGCGCTCCTGGAAACTGCAGCCCCGGCCCATCCGGAGGCCAGTCACGGCCTGGCGGAGAGAGCAGTGGGGTCATTAACAAATAGCGGGAGGGGGGGTTGTGCTGCACTCAGCCTCAGGTGGGAAAGAAATGCCCCCTCCCTGACCCGTCTTCTCGCTTTCTGTGGCTCGCCGCACTTCATTGCCTCGCTCCTCCGCACCTGGGCTGCCCTCCCCTACACGCTGCCCTGCTGCCCTGAGCCTCTCGGGGGCAGCCTGGGGGGCAGCTGTGCGCATCACCGGAGGCCCGTGGCCTAGGCCTGGGCAGCTCGGGACAGAGGGGCACTCGAGCGGCTTGGCCAGCTCTCCTGCAGAAGGGGTGAGCCCGGGTCTGGCCCGGGAGGAAGCTCCGACGCGCTGAGCTGGGACGTCTCTCCCTCCTGCTCCTGGGGCGGGCACCTTCCCACCTTGGAAGTGGGAGAGGGGCGGCAGAGGAACTCGGCGGAGGAGAACCTGCTCCGTGGGCAAACGGTTCATGCTCCAGCTGTGCAGGGGGAAAATCCAGCTCAAACTGCAGAACAGCTGCTGCCAGTCCGTGTGGACAGTGCTGAGCTCCAAGGGCCGCCTGGCCAGTCTGACCACGCAAGGGAAGCTGTGAGAACGGCTTCTGAAGGCACTGCAGAGGGCTGCAGGGAGGACCAGACGGCGTTCCAAGAGGTCAGCCTCTCCCTCTTGAGCAAGCAATTAGCTGCGTGGGCAGCGAGGCTGCGGCGGAGTCACGTCTTTCCTGCGCCCTCCACGGCCCGCCAGCGCTTTGGACTCTGCACAGGGCTGCCGCTTCTGGGGTCTTTGCTCCCGTGCCACCGGCCGTGATGCGACACAGGTCTAGCACACGAGACTCCGTCAGCAAGAGGCAAGCCGGGAGCACATTGCCTGCCTGGCTTGCACGTGCCAGTCGTGTCTGCAGGAGCCGGGCGCTTGAACTGTGCCCCCCTTTGGCTAGGAGGGCTGAATTGCCCCTTTGCTGCTCAGGAGGGAGTTGGAAAAGTCACCCGGTGGCCCAGGAAGATGTAGCCAGTTCCTCGATAGCACAGAAACTGCGCCCTGTTCCAGACTTGGGCGAGTTCGTCGTTCTCCTGCCTTGCGGCAGTTTGGTTCTCTCTGCTGAGCACAGCTGCTTTCTCACCTGCATTTGATGGTGTCCAGAGCCATCAGCCTGACAGCACGTGGGGGCGTGCCTGGTTTTGCATGTTTTCTGTCTTCCCACTTCTCTGACACCTCATGTCCCCACCTCGTGTCAGAAGGAATTCACCTTTCTTCTGTGGAAAGGCCACCGAGCTTCTGTTCTAAGAATGGCAATGATCGCGATCATGGTTTTGATGATGCGTATCCTGCTTCAGAACCAAGGATCAACATGGCTTACAAATACAGAATGTATACTGATAATAACAAATCCTACGACTGCAGAAGCAAAATATTCATATCAGCATTAAACAAAGGATCCAGTCAAAGCTTGGTCAGATTCAACCGGTTTTGAGCAATGATTTGAGAAGGGAAAGGAAGGGAGCTTGTGGGGTTTCCCCAGGGAGAGAACTGTGGTGCCACCACAAAGGCGGCCCCTGCCTGGGACCTGCCCCAGTCAGGCTGTTTCTGAAGACGGAACCGGATGCACGTCCTCCGACAGCACTCAAAAACCTCGGCCAGGAACCTGGTCCGTGTGAAGGCAGCTCTCCAGCTGTTGGGGGGTTTACAGCTGACCATGTTAAAGAGAAGAGGAAGTGGACATGCAGGGCAAAACAACAACAACAACAACATTAAACTGGCTGTCGCAGAGACTGGCTCTGAAAGCGCTGAAGAGGGTGCCTTCCGAGAGGGAGCCCAGGGGCTCTTTCCACACTTTGCTGAATGCCTAACCGGGGAGGTGTGATCACAAGGGACACGTGTCCAACACACGCCTTGCCAGGGGGTTGGGACTGACCAAGACCCAACCAGGTTGTGGTTCTCCTCCGCCGAGTTCCTCTGCCGCCCCTCTCCCACTTCCAAGGTGGGAAGGTGCCCGCCCCAGGAGCAGGAGGGAGAGACGTCCCAGCTCAGCGCGTCGGAGCTTCCTCCCGGGCCAGGCCCGGGCTCACCCCTTCTGCAGGAGAGCTGGCCAAGCCGCTCGAGTGCCCCTCTGTCCCGAGCTGCCCAGGCCTAGGCCACGGGCCTCCGGTGATGCGCACGGCTGCCCCCCAGGCTGCCCCCGAGAGTGGGTGGCTCAGGGCAGCAGGGCAGCGTGTAGGGGAGGGCAGCCCAGGTGCGGAGGAGCGAGGCAATGAAGTGCGGCGAGCCACAGAAAGCGAGAAGACGGGTCAGGGAGGGAGCATTTCTTTCCCACCTGAGGCTGAGTGCAGCACAACCTCCCCCCCCAGCCCCCCATTTGTTAATGACCCCACTGCTTCTGTGAAAATAACTCCGCTTTACACCCTGCCAGGGCTTCTGGTTGATATCATACAGAAAGGAATAAGAGCTTGTCCCCCATCACGAAATGAGGATTCCTCCCTTTGGAGGGGACTCAGATCTGGCGGAGTTCCTTGCAGCGCTGCCACGGAAGGCTTTTCATGATTCAAGGGTGCTTTTTGCTCAGCAACAGCACCTCATCTGTGAGTGGCGCTGTCACACTGACCCGCAATTAGGGCTCATATAGTCAGTTTCTTGCGAGGGCAATTAGGTTTATTTACAATTAAACACATGGATCCATGGGTGCCCAAGGAAGGAACCCCCAACGCTACTTCCATCAGGGTTATTTATTTATTTAGAACTTCTGTATGCTGTTCCATCGCATAGCCTCGGGACGGCTTACATAAAATACATAAACACAATACAAATAATATAGGGTTGTATAGAATACACAAAAGGGGAATGAATACAGTACTCAGGAAGGTGATTGGATGCTCTGATATGGATAGGAAGGTGATTGGATACACGTCACAGCACCATCAAGAAAAGGGACATTTCACTCTAATTAATACCTTTGACAGGCCTTCTAAATTCAAGTTGCCTTGAACAGGCTGGCCAAGTTAAGTAAACAGAAAGGTGGCACGTGTGAACGTGCAGGGCTAGGGAGGCACTCTGGCAAGCCGCTAAAACGCAGCACTTGCACTTTGACAGTTGCCCTCTAACGGAGGAGTGGGGTCATCTGGCCTTCACCACCAGCCACGGCGGGAGGCATCTTCTGATGCGTGTATGGCAAGGCAGAGGGGCAGGATGGCAAAGTTTGCTTTTCTGAGTACTGCGCCTCCAGAGAGCGCAGGCCTCACTCACTCCACGTCTCCACCGGGTGTGGCTCCTCTTTGTCTCCTGGAGAGCTGCTGTGCGGTCGGCTCGGGGCCCGGGGCCGGCCGGCCTGAGACGGAGAGGCACTTCTGCCTGCCACACTGCCGTGGATCATGTGGAGGGCGTCTTCCAGGTGGCTGGCGGCTACCTCAGGGCCTGGGCCTTCCCCTGGGCAGAGGCGGCTGAGCCGGGGTTCACGGTAGGCGGCAGCGGGGGACCGGGGGACTGAGCCGTGCGAATCCTCAGCACAGCGCTGTGCGGGGACGCAGGGAGAGGCAGGCAGGGCTCCTTCGCTGGGTGCCGCCTGCTGAGCGAAGGGGCTGGTGGGAGCCCACGCAGCTGAGCCCGTGGGGTGGGCATCAGCCGCACCTGGGAAATCCTGGGGAGCCGAGCCCCAGAGCGGGGGTGGGTCATGGCAGAAACACGTAGAAGCCCCGCGCTTGGTTTTTCTCCCCATGAAAAGTGTTGCGAAGGGCGAAGCTACCTGTGGGCAGCAGACACTCGCAGACGAGGTTTCTTTCCTGCTTTGGGAAGGTTAAGCAGATGCACACAAAACAGTGTTTTCTTTTTAATGGCTGCAAGTATGTGGACTTCTGAAAGCCGATGCACCTGCCCTGATTCCAGCAAACCGCGAGCAGCTGAGAGGTGTGCTAAAGGGCTTGTTGCCTGGCAACTTCTGCACTGCCCGGGATTGGGGGCTCTTCCCCCGCGAGCTGCAGCTGACCCCCCCCCCCCCGAGCCTGGGGCGCTGCAGTGCCCCTTTCAGTGCCTCGGTGCTGCTTGCGCATCCACATTGGTGGGCAGGACCAAGCCAAACGCAGGCCGGGGTTCCTCCCTTCAGCAGGCCAGTGTGGGGCTCTTCATTTTTTAATCACTTGTTAAAGGTACGGCAAAGTACTTTTCCACTGGGGGAAAAAACGCTCGAGTGCAAATTCAGAGAGGGACTTCATAAAAATAATCATGATTATTAAAAAATAATCCAAGGACTGCTCCAGTCGCCTCCGACCTGGTGTGGTCCGGGGGTCCCAGACCACAGTTCCTATCATCCCACTGGCTTAATCTCTTTCCATGCGCTCTCAGTTCTTCTGGCAGAGGGTTGAAACCGTTCCGAGAGCTCCATGCCAGCGAACGGGATAGAAACGCCCAAGTACATGTGCACATACACCCCCAGGCACAACAAATGACTAGAATCCCCTATTGGAGGTGTCAGAATCCCGGAATCTCAATTTGAGATGAGGAAATAAAACTCGGGGTTGTAGGAAAGATCAGTTGTTATGAACCTCCGCGTCTTTATTGTCTATCCCAGGTTCCCGCGGTTGACTCACGATAATGCATTACCGACCCAGCAGAGATGAACTCGCTGCAAAGCTTCAATACCATTACAGGGCATTTATAGGCACACAGGTACAGGGCAATTGATGACAGAATGCAGAGATTCCAATGAGATTCTGAGGTCATCACATACGGAACAGATAAAGAAATGTCAGTCCATCACACTGTAACAATGAGATTAGTATTGACACTTTAGTTGAGGAACTTGAACCCATCTCCAGGTCTGCTCAGACTTGCAAATTCAAGCCACTAGACACTATTAATGATAAGCTCAGACCCTTATCTCGACTCTAGACATTCTGCATGATCAGGGCACATGAAGCCCTCTGGGCTGTCAAAAGATTATTGTAAACTAAATTCCAACAATGACTATTTACAATGGATATTTGGGCTAAAATGGCCTGACTGCTGTAGCTTACAGCTAAAGGTGAGAGAAAGGAGCAGGGAATGAATGTCATTTTAAACCATGATAGCTTGGTTTTGAGAAGGAAGACAGGATTTGATCCCACAATGCAAAGGCACACAGGAGTAATGCTTTTCAGACAGGATTTACCCAAATTTTCCCAACAGAGGTTACCAGCCTTTCAAGACTTTACAGCAGTTTGTCCCACAAATGAGAGAGAGAGAGAGAGAGAGAGAGAGCACGTGCGCGCATATGTGCGATGTGGGGGGGGGGTTGTCTTCACTGCCTCCAAAAGCTAAACATTTGTCTGCAAAATTTGCTGCTATTTCATGGCTGAGCATCAGTCACCTTGAGAGACGTTGCTGACGCCACCTAAACTGAATGCTGTTATAATCACTCCTTCCTTTCCGTCGGAAGAGAAAAATATTCCAGGCTTGCAGAGCGTTCTTTTTAAAACTTTATTGCAATGAAGGGAACCGAAAAGAATGGTTTCCTTCCCATCCTTCTGTTCACCTGAGCACATGTTCACCCCCCCCGCCCTTTGAACCCTGCGCCCGGCCGCCTGTTCCCTCCTCCGTTCCCCGAATTGGCTAATGGGGTACTCGGAGGTTACCCTCTTTCCGCCCACCTGCTCCGCGCTGCCCCAGCACCGGCCCTTCTTCCCAATCCAGCCCTGCCCCGGTGCGCTGCAAGAGGCTCATCTTGTTCTGTCCGGCTTGTCAATAAACCATCAGGAAGTATTTGGCCCTCCTGCCTACCTGCCTGCTTCCCCACACCTTGTGCTACCTGATTTTGGCCCCTCCCCTCCTTTGGGCTAAGTACTTTTCTTTGTTACCCTTTCAGATCTCTTTACTCCCTTGTTTCAGATCATCCTTTCACACTATCAACGCTGACGTCGACGTCTCGGGGTCACCCAAACTGGCGGAAAGGGGCACACAGGCCCCCGGATTCCCAAGATCCGGCTCCAGGATCCATCCCGGCCCCCCGCCCCCGCCATGGGGAAGAAGTGAATCCCTCTCAACCGCCCGATCGGGGGCGCTCGTTGGAGCGCGGCGCCCTCTGCTGGTTACCCGAGGAAACTTCCCTTGCTGCTGTGCATTTCGCTCATGGGCCGAGGGTACCGGCGATGGGCCGAGTCTTTTAATTCTGGGCCGTGCTCTGCTCCGTTTCTGCAAGGCACGGGATCTCCCATTCCTCCAGCAGATAGTCCCATTCAGGGAGGCATCGCATGGATCATGACTAGAGAGCTTCCGAATGCGATGCAGCAGCAGCTTGGAGCTGCCAGACTGACGCCAAGGAAACGGGACTATAGAACGGATCTGGGAATAAACCCTGGAGTAGAATCGCAGCACCATAGCTTTGGAAGGGGCCAGAGGGCTGCCAGGTCCAGCCCCTGCTCAGTGCAGGACTCCAAGGTGAAGCATCCCTCACAGGCTGTCCCGCTGCATCCCAAAAGCCTCCTGTTTGAGAGCCCGCCACCTCCCCAGGTCTTGGGGTCCGCTGCCTGCTGTAACCGTCAGGAACTTCTGCCCGAGGTCCACGCCTCGCTTCCTGCAGCCTGAGGCCGGGATGCAGTGCAGAAAGGCGCTTCAAGGCAACTGGCCAGAAGGTCAGCTGCGCATTTTTTAACTGCCACTGGCTTCCGAACGCACAACCAATAACCATGCTCCCCAGCTGGTGCTTTTGTGAGTGGCCATGAGCCTATTTGGCGTATAGCTAAGCTCTGAAGCAGTGGCCAGAGATTGCGGGGGGGGGGGGGGCTGCATCATGTTTCTATATAGGCCCAATAGGCTTTACAATATGGGTCTGGTGCTATGGAGGCTTTTCAGCTCTCTCGTAACTTTAATTTAATGCGTCCTGTTCGCACTTCCTGCCAGTTTCTTGCTTCCTACTGATTGCAGCTGGAGGATCACTGCTGAAATGCCATTTGAAGAGCTTCTCTTAATAGCCCCAGTATCTGTTCGCGCAGAGGGAGAGACTGGGTTTTGTTTTGCATTTTTTATTTAGAATAGCAAAATTACTTTTTTAAATTAAACTCTTTAAAGTACAGGGTTCTCTCTTCCTTTTAAGATGGTCCCTCTTTCTTCCCTTCATCATCTCATTTATTTTCCAGCTTTTCCTTGAAACGAAAGGGACATTTCTCCTGGCATTACAGCTTCTCATGGGTGACCGTCCTTGCCTTGGTGAGGTCTGCACGCATCCCATGCTGGAATCGGAGTATCACACCCATCATGCACCTCTGCGATGTGTGGAGCCAGGCGCAGGGGAGCGCAGCTGCTGCAGGCCGAGAGCTCGCGGATGTCGTGCAAGCCTTCCGGCGTTTCCCCAGCGTGGCCAGGCCTTTCGGCGGAAAGCCCCCGGAGCCCTCGCCCAGGAGAGGCTGCGTGCTGAGGCTTCGCCTGGCGGCAGGCCCCCCCGCCAGCTCCCCCGCCCCATGGTGCTCCCTGGATTCCGCGGGCCAAAAACAAGAGCCCGCGATGGAGATGGGCGCTCCTCCACGGCACAGGGTGCTGCGGCTCTCCGCTTGTCTGCAGCGCCTGCCTGCGCCCCGGGGCACGCCCCCCCCCCGCCCGGGAGGCCCGACCGGCTGCGCGCTCACTGTGCGGCCACCGGGAAGGCGCTCCGGAGCAGAGCTGTGGCACCTCGGAGTCCAGCACTGGCTCCTGCGCGGGCAGGGAGGCTGGGATGCCAGGAAAAGACGAGCGAGTGGCACAGCCATCCCCCGATGGCCGGGTTTCTCTGCAGAAGCCCGACTGGCGCTGAAAGTCTCCAAGAGGGTCCAGAAGATGCCCAAATCCTGCTCGTTTGTGTGCACTTTAAAGTGGCCCAGATAGAAAGCGGGATGGCAGCTGGATATTACAGCAGCAAAAATCATGCAGAAGAATTGCAAAACTTTACGGTCAGCAATGAAGAAATCACAGCTGTGAAAGATTTTCATACCTTGGCTCAATCATCAAGTCTAATGGAAAATGCAGCCAAGAAATTTGAAGAAGACTGAGACTCGGAAGGGCAACCATGAAGGTCGGTTCTTTGGAGACCAAGGCCAAGATCTTCCACATGCTTGTATTCCTGATCACTGTGGATGGGTATGAAAGCTGGATGGCAAGAAGACCGATGTGCTTGAAACAGGGTGCTGGAGGAGAGCTTTGTGAATGTCCTGGGCCAACAGAAAGAGAAACAAGGGAGTCCAGAATTTGCCCTGGAAGCAAAAAGACAAAACTGTTGTATTTCAGGGCTCAGACACCTCAGGACTCATTCAGGAAGGCATCCATGCTGGGGAAAGCCAAAGGCAGAAAAAAGACAAGCCCCCGGAGGAGATGGATGGGCCACAAACCGGAGCAGGGCTGTCTGTGCAAACTAAAAATCGCCCCACGACTGCGGGCTTTTTCGTCTCAGCTAAAGTTGGCCTACAGCCACGCTTCCCAATGTGTCCGTGCCCTGAGAGACAAAAGCGAAGTGAGAGGGCTTTCCCTTACCCGTGGCTTTGGCCTTGCGCTGGGACCTTTTCCTGTGTGTGC